TGATAAATATACAATAAAACAAACGTGGGGGAAAATAAAGTGAAGTAAATCCCCATGAATAGAGAATAATGTTCAGTTTTCAACGAAATATCGTGCGAATGATTTAAGTGTTTGAAATTCCCCCGGTTTTGTGGAGTATAGAGCTTTGTTATTGTGAAAATGCCGGATGGGGCGAATAATATTTATGTGATAAATACAGTGAGATTTTTATTTACTGCGAATATTTCTTTCTCGAGTTTAAGATTTTTTTTTTCGTTTTTTCCTTTGGGTTTTGATTAATGACAGAGTGACATTCAATCTCTTATCACCTCTCGATAGAAAAAAAAACATAAACAGTGAAACAGAAAATAATTTTGCTGTTTTTACCGTGAAATTTGGCGATGAAAATTATGAATTTATATCAAACGAGGAAGTGTTTATCATTTTGTCATTAATTTACTGTCACGAGTGTTAATTCATTTGAATGGCCTTGCAACGGAGATTATTCGTTAATTATTCGACCTTGCTCGAAGTGTCCCACATTCTTATTTTATTTGGGGAATAGTTAAAGAGGTCAGTCTCAACGATTTAGAATTTTAAAAATAGATATTGAAATTGCACGGTCAACTAGAATAAATAATCACTTGATCTCTGATCCAAATTTAATTCGCGAAATGAATATTCAATTCAGAAAATTTTCCGTACTTGGGGTTTAACAACGGATAAATGAAGCAAATTTATACAGCAGAAATCATTGATCGTCGAGTCAACGAGTGTCACATCGAAATTTCATCCGACAAGTACAATGAAGTTTCTGGTCAAATACTTCGAGTCTATCAGCGTCAAGTTTACACCGGTGAGGCACGATTTAATCTCAATGATGATTATTGAATTAATGATACTGCATTAACTCTGGATTATGAGAACAAAGCATCCACTAAACTGCGGATGAATGATCGTCGCTGTTCAAACAATCTCAGAAAAATTACTTCAATATTTCATGTTTTTATACATGATGGATAAAAAGACTCTTCATGCAATGGAGGATATACCTGGGAACAGTAGAGAATAGGTTCATTCATTGGTAACTTTAAAAACCGTAAATTTCAGTTCGATAATTCTATAAAAATGGAATAGAAATCAGGAAAATTCAGGTGAATAAATTCTTAAATTTGTAATCAATTCAAATCCAAGTGAATTTGGTCCTGAATATTCATAAATATTCTATAAATACTCCAATCCATTTGTTTTTCAATTAAACCAGAAGATTTATTCATACTCAAGTACCGTTTTCTTCATGAAATTTGAAATAAAAAGCCACAGAATGTCAGTGATTTTTTTCTTCCGAATGGCGCCGTATTCTCAGGTTCATTAAATGCATAGAGGCGCCTCTATGGATGATACATTAACATATTTCCAGGGTGACAAGGCGAGTAATACCAAGATTGGATCTCACGGGCGCGTCAGCGCTCTGCATCAGTGCAAAACGGGATAAACCAGTGGCTTCTTGAGTGGTCCTGGAATTACTTTGAGATCCGATAGGGATAGCAGTTATTTTCAAATGGTCTGTGAAGCTGAAGACAATATTAGAAAATCACAGAGTTCAGTGGCTGACTATGCACTTGGGGAAAGTATTTCATCAAATATGGAAAGAGAAAACGAAGAAAAATATTTTTTTAAAACACAACTCGACGAATTGATCAATCAAGTTCAGTATTCATGCATTTTATTCATCAATTGTCTATTGAAATGGAGTTCTTCACTCATCTGCAACAAATAATGACCTTGCTATTCATTTCTCTATCAACAAAGAACAAAAATCAATAGAAACCTCTCTACTCTGTGAATATTCAATCAGTTCAATTACTAATACTTAATACCAGCATAAAAGTTTCATTATGAATTTTTAAGTTGTAAACTGATCCTGGGATTGCTTAAAAATTCAATAGGGATTGTAGTTATTTTCGAATAGAATAGAAATCCAAAGAGTCCAGTGTCTGATCAAACATTTCGTCAAATTAAAAAGAAAGAGAGAACGCAGAAAAATATTAAAAAACCAAGCATATGGCTCCACAACTCGACGAATTGATCTATCAAGTCCAGTATTCATTCGTTTTATTCATCAATTGTATATTGAAATGAAGTTCGTCATTCATTTGCAACAAATAATGACCTTGCTATTCATTTCTCTATCAATAAAGAACAAAAATCAATAGGAACCTCTCTACTTCTGTGAATATCCGATCAATTGAATTACTAATGCTTAATACCAGCATAAAAGTACCATTATGAGTAATCAGCCGATTTTATTCACTCGTCCAAATTACCCCGTTGCCCATTCAAAAACAGTTTCTCCGAATATAATTGCTTCGATACAATGAAACCAATCATAACCATTCGGATTCTGCAATTGAATGCTTTTCAATGTAAACACGTGGCCGGATATCGGTTCTCACACACTCCATGTTTTGAATAGATGGAAACTTTGGTATGGGATCAAAGTGTTGAGAGTTGAATGGACCATGAGTGCATTAAATTGAGAAATGCCTTCAGCGTATAAATTAAATTCACGACGATCAGTGGAACGATACGTACACAGAGTACTTAGTTCTAATTGGAAACACTAACAACCACTTGGTTGGGGGATAATTGAATGAAGATAATTCATGTCATTTCGGGTTCATGTCATTTGGGGTTGTTAATAGCAATTGTTACATTGCATTTTCGGATGTTGAGGTAATTGGGTTCTCATTAGGGTTTTGTAATTTTTGTGAAAATAATTACGTTTTTTGCTTCAACTAAAAACACAAATTTTTTTAATTTCAGTTTTTGAGAAATATCTCGGGAAGGAAGGGAGATAGCGAAATATCTGTAAGAACCTTTTTTGTGAGGAATTTCAAAATCTACAAAAAAGTATCGCTATCTCCCTTCAATTCCGAGATACTCCCAAAAAACTACATCGAAACAAAATCAACTTTGAACCAATGCAAAGCAGAATTAACTGGAATCAATTGTTAATAATTAGAGATCGACAGAGTGAATTTTCCCGATTTTTCTTTCATTTTCAAGATTTTTTTATCACCTCGAAAATGAAATCTGATTCGTCCAAATCGTACCACTAGTTCCGGTAATATTGAGAATGAAATACGATTCACTTTCAAAATCAATCCGTCCCAAATTAAAATTCCCTCATCCTGTTTACTCTAACTACCGGGGCAAAACGGGCATGTTTACGCAAGTTTTCCATTGGAAAATGTCTAGTTAGCTTTCCACAAGAACAAGTTTTTCCACAACTCGTCGTCAACAACTCCTCAAAAGCATTAGTTTTTCTAATGGCAACCTCATTTTTTCAATATTTTCGCTTATCTCCTCCATAAATGCCAGAGTATTGGAATTGAAACGCTTGGTGTTGTATTATTCTTTGTATTATCTGACAAGTGCAAGCAAGAGCCGATAAACCATTCCCCTCATTTCCGTAAACCGGCGATGCGCTTGTTATCACTTATCAGGGTCGCGCGAGATAAACTCGACAAAATTTTATCCCTCCTGGCCCTGATGATGTGAGAAATTTTACACTCTTTCTTCTTCGCCCGACAATGACGTCGGGCGCGTTTCAGGGAATCGTCTTTTGTCTGGGGTGAGATGAATGAAAGAAATAAAAAGCCATTTGGCTTCCAGCGAATGAGCAATTATCGAATGTGTTAATTGCCCTCAGCAATCGAGAAATTAACGTGCGGTTCGGAAAATAGTGAATGCACTTTAATTCCTTTCTTCACTTTTTCATTGTATTTTTCATGGTAACCACTTCAGTGACATCTAGAATAATTAAATGCAGTCGACATGAGTGGATGGGCGGGTAGGGATGAAGATCCGCTCATTCAATTAATTACAATTTTAATTATTTCATTTTTTCCAATTTCGGAGAGAATCAGAACAAATGAACCTTCTTAAATGATTAATATCTTCCCAACAAACGGTGCGGTATTGAGAAATCAACGTCAGTTTAAATATCTGGAAAATTATCTTGAAAATGAAAAAAAAATTGTGAAATTTCACTCTGGCGATCGCGAGTTATCGACGATCAAAAAACATTCGTAGAAAACGACTTGGAAGGAATTAATTAATTGATAGTGAATGCCCTATTAATTTCATGGTAACCCCTTCAGTGACATCTGGAATAATTAAATACAGCCGGAATGGGGGAAGGACGGATAGGGATGAAGATCCGTTCATTCAATTAATTACATTTTTGATTATTTCATTTTTTTTCAATTTCGGAGAAGATGAGAACAGATGAACCTTCTTAAATGATTAATATCTCCCCAGCAAATAGTGCAATTTTGATAAATCAAAGTTAATTTTAAAGTCTGAAAAATTATCTTGAAAACGAGAGAAGAAATGTGAAATTTCACTCTGGAGATCTCGAGTTATCAACGATCAAAAAAATTAAAAAAAATCGAAAGTAATTAATTAACGGCATGTAATTTTCCCCACTTCTGATAATCTCTCCTACAATTTTCCGTCACATTTATCTCCCCCGAGAGGACGAACCGTCACAATAAGCGACCGTCTATCTAATAATAAAAACGGGCCATTAAAATTTTATGACTGGCCACAGTTGGTGTTTAGTGACATAAGTAATCACACGAGTTATCAGGGGGTTGATGACCTCCTTTCTTCAACCATGTTGTCAATGTAAAGACCCCCACAAAATCCAGCTTTATGAGCCAACATGACGCTTGCCATGTTCATCAACGCGTTCCTTTGTGTGCCGCGAGACAATTTTAATCAATTCTTTTCATTTTCAGGAAATTGCAATTCTCAGATGCATTAAAAAACCAAAATTATTGAATATTCAACTAAATAATGACATAACAATTATCCATATTCATTGATAATAATTAGTGAATGAATAAGATGAGAAAATTTGAAACGTAAACTTTAAAAAATTATTCATTTGTGAATTCCTCGTTTTAGTGTTCTGTTTTTATTAATGAATTGTTGTTTATTAATTGTTTCAGGTGAGTAGGAGATCGAAAGAACGGGCGTCCATTCACCAAGATAAGGGGAGGGTGAGTCGTAAATAAAGTACGAAAGTAGTGGATGCTTCGGTAATACCTTCACATCCAAAAATCCGAATGATTTTTTTCTTTCAATTTAAAAAGCGAATGAACTTTCAATTTTATTTCCACCATTCATCAGCGAAATGAATAATTCATTCACGAATGAAATTTAATTTACGGCGTCGAATTATTCATCTTCACAGACTGAAAAAGCCCAGATTTTTCATATCGATAAAATTACAACAAAAAAAAGAGAATCAACAATTGCTTTTAGTCATTCACACATTGTGCGTCAGGATCAGATCACTCTGCCCTTTATTCTCGCTCGGTTCTTCGTGTTTTTAATAGAAAGCCACGGTGCAACTGTGCATGGAAGCCAAGAACTAAGAACATGATGAATCATGGGGGGGATGGGGAACAATGGACCACTCTCGGTTGCGTTATAATAGTTGTATGCACTCCAGAACGGCTTTGCATTTGCGTTCGTGCACTTGAGCGTGGGTTGAGAACGGATCTACGGATATTCTACGTCGCGTTCTACTTCGTTCATAATCGTTTTATTTTACTTTGAATATATTTTTCACACCCCTTTACTCAAAAGTGAAATGCAACCGCGAATGATTTTATTTACATTCATTCTCCCATTTCTTTCTCTCTATTTTTAATGCAAAATTTTTCGTTCGCATGAAAACTTGACTATTAATTTTATATGCAGAATGAAAAATAATTGAAGAAAGAAATTGGAAAGGCTGTATTAGAAATTATCTTTGATAAAGTGAAGAATTCAATGTGATAAGAAATCAATTAAGAAATTGAGAATATTTGGACGGTCATTAATTTCATAACATTCCAAATTTTTAATGCTTCCCCATAAAAATTCAATTTGGAAATGAAGAACAGACTTTAATTCGTTTGTTTTGATTCATTCTTCAATTTTTACAATCTATTTTTAATGCAAACAATTTGGTTTCATTGAATTGAAAAGTGTAGAACGAACAGACATTGAAGGATGAAAGTAGAAATGTTGAAATAGTTTATTGGAAATTTTCTTTGATAAAGTAAAAAATTAGAAATGATAAAAAATGAATTAAGAAATTGGGAATATTTAGTCGGTCACTAATTGAATAGACTTTAATTTGATTATTTACATTCATTCTGCATTTTTAAAAGTATTTTTTATGCAAAAAAAAACAATTTCATGTGAAGAATGAACAATAATGACTTATCAATTAAATAAAAAATTGGGATGAAGAAAAATTAATGAAGCAATTGAAAATATTCAAGTATTCATTAATTTCTACAGTTTCTAATTTTTGAATGCTCATTAAAATTCTATTTTGAAACGAAGAATAGACTGAGTGTAAACGATCGATGATAGCGTGGGCGCTGATAAATCCTGATATATTCATCTTCGTGACGCCCAACACACACGCGTTCATTCAAGACGAGCGTCTCCTCGCCGGGAGGATATTCCTCAACGTTAGCCACCTGGTTGAGTCATGACGGGCGCTTCGTGTCATGTACTTTTGCATTGCGTCATTATATTCATTCATACTCAGCATCTCGTTGAATTACCCACACCTGAGGCCATGACGCATTATCGTTTTCGAGCCTGATCACCTCTCTGCGAATAATTCGTAGCGGTAAATAATGAGTTTAGTCATCTGATGATTATCTGGCTCATCGAATTTATCAGGAAATTGTGACGATCAGGCGGAAGTGATCTGTGCATTTTCCGGAAGATGAGGAAGTCAAGAGTATTGTTGAATGAAAAAAGGAAAACTACGTCTTTAATTATTTCTAGTTTTCAATTTCATCATGACTTGATTTTTTCCTTCTTTTTCAATGCTAAAAAAATTCTGCCTACAAATGTGACGAAATAAAATATTTATGGGCGGTATGAAAAATCATAATCTGTTTTTACTCAATTTTAAAAATAGAGAATAGAGGAATGGAATAACATTGGAAATTTTTGTGAATAGAGATTTATTATTTGAATGCAAAACATCATCTGATGATGATCTGGCTCATTGAATTCATCAGAAAATCTGATGATCTGTGAATTTTCCGGAAGAGGAGGAAGTCAAGAGAGTTCCTGAATGAAATAATGCCTTTATTCCAATAATAAAAAATTACATCTTTAAATATTTCTAATTTTCAATTTCATCCAGACTCGATTTTTTTCTCAATTTTTAATGCAAAAAAAATTACCATCAAAATTTGACAAAATAGTATGTTTACATTGGGAATAAAAAATCACAATTTCTTTTAATTGGATTTTACAACTCCATTTAATTTTCTCTATTCTATAATTTTCAATGTTCGTAAATAAACATTCATAATTCTTAATGCAAAAGATCATCTGAGAAGGCCAAGAGAATTCTTATTTATCAAACTCAATCAATAACGAATTATCACGTATCGAAGTGTTAAAATATAAAAGCACAGAAACCGGCAAGCCCACACTTTCCTCTAATGAATTTCGTTGGTATTATGAAATAAGCTGGGTGTTATCTACTTCCCAAATGGTCGTAAAAACAATTTTCATATTCATCATATTCACGATGATGTGGTAACGACACATTGACAGATTTTAAACTAGACCCAGTTTACATAATTACGTTTACATTAAATATAATCTAACGTCAAATTAATTATAACACCGTTCAATCCCCAGACGTTATACCACAATTAACTATGCAGACGTGTCGTCTCTGCTGGATGAGATACGATAAATAGGTGTAGGGTTCAACGAACCGACTTTCCTCACTCGGAATACTAATGAACCTATTCACATTTGTTCTTTTATTCTCCAATTTTTCCATTTTGCAGACTTTTCAGTGGTCACTTGAAGTCACAAAATGGCTACTCCATGTCTAATTATTTCGTCAAATCATGAAAATTGCAAAATTGTTATTTCTAACATTTTTAGTCGGAGAATGTGACGAAATTGACATTTTTTTACTCAAAATCCTAAATTTGTTGAATTTTGAATTTGAAATTAACATCTTTACATTAAGATTTTTTTTACCGTATAAATAATTGTTCAAACAAACATTTCTTGATTACAAATGACATGAAGTACTTCACTAGCGAAGTGGTCAAACGTTTTAAGTTGATTTTGGCTATTGACCAGTTTTCAATAAATATCTCGAAATCTAAGGGAGATAGCAAAATTTTTCTCATAACCTTTTTAGTAGCACTCAATTCGCTCTACGAAAAAGGTTATTATGAAAATTTCGCTACTTCCTTTAAATTCGGAAATATTTCTGGAAAACTAAACTAACGACCAAATTGACTTGAACCATTTGACCACGTCGCTACTGAACTGTTCATTTCATTCTGACAAATTATTCAATTAGAATTAATAAAGAGCTTTGTCTCATTTCAATGCATCATTTCTCGGTGCTGGGGCATAACGGGTCGTCTTTATTCACTGGCACGATCATCTCAAAGGATAAGAACAATCTTGAACTAATTTTTGGTTGTAATAAAATCTGATTTGTAGGTTTAGACAACAACAGACAGTTTTTTTATTAGAAAAAAAAATGAGTTCAAGGTGATTCCTAATATAAACTTACGAAATACCAAAGATATTTGAGTTCTGTTTTTAAACGATTCCGCCTTGCGCACCTTTGTTTACACCAATCGAGTGGGGAAAAAAAAGAAACTGACAGTGAGACTGGAATGTGGGCCAGTAGAAAGTGATTTGAAATAATTACAGGCGTTAACGACGAGCTCTCGAGCAGTTACGATTTGGCATAAATGCGTTGAAGACACGTTGGCAAATGAAATCAACGATCGGGGGAATAAAAAATCAAGTGAAAGGTATTTTTAACGTTTACCTCGGGATTTTTACTTTTTATTGACAACTTTCTTGCTGTTGGATTTTATGAAATTGCTACATCCGCTTTTTTACTGCTAATGCAGTTGATGACGGATGCAAATGGGTATGGAGCAGAACCGGTGATTACCATTGAATGAATACACATTGAGGAACAAAAAAATGATATGCGGTAATCGTATCCCATTTTTTATTTTGAATAAGATTGTGTCACACGAAAGAACAGTTCAAGGAACAAAATATTGAGATACTTTGTAACAAAAAAAATATAGAGGGAGAGTTTTTAATCGCCAATATCTCGAGAACGGCAGAGTGAAATTTCTCGATGTTTTTTCACTTTTAAGGTATTGCTTCAAGCTTTAAAATGGGATTTGATTTTTTCAAATCGTATCGTTCGATTCTGAGATATTGACAATTGAAGACTCCGTTTACGAGAAAGAAAAAATTGGAATGTTTTTATTTACAAAAAATGTTGGAAGAGGTTGGAATTTCATGAATCATTCCACAAGAACGAGTGAGAACGAAAAAAAAATTATTCCCTGTGAAATAAAAAAAAAAGAAAGTAAACTAATGAAGAGAAAACCGAGATCTCGCGCTGATAAACATTGCAATCATTCAGTTGAACTTTGCGTCGATTTTTCGAGTGAAATCGCCTCAAAAAATCGCCTCATCCGCCGAAAAATGCGTATTTCATGTCTCTGATGACCTCCAAACGGACTTAACTCAAAAAATCCTCTGGAATGTCAATAAAACTTATCCTTAAACGAAACGGAAACGGCTAGACCGTGTGTCCGAGGCCGCCCGGGTTGCGTGTGAGACCGCGAAAACAAAACGCAAAGACAAGAATTCGCATTATCGCACGCGTGAGTCAGATGATATAGTAATGAAATAACGATTCAGACTGGGGGCCCAGTCATAGCCGAGTCACTGTTGTCCAGCTGAACGACTTCCGATAGTTATTCATTTAATTACTCGTCATTTCGTTGAATAAAGTTCATTTATCTGTAAATTAAGGATATCCAGATACTTTGGAATTCAACTTGATGTTTTTTTACATTTCCATTCACACGAATGAAAAGTTTTTTGAATATAAAAAATATTTTTTATATTGAATGAAGGGCTTATTAATTTCTTTAATAAAAAAAATTCGGAAGGAAATTTTTTA